AAATTGAGTACTGCAACATTTCAGAATAAATCGAAATTGAATTCTGCCACATTTCAGAATAAATCAAATTGAGTACTCCAACATTTCAGAATAAATCGAAATTGAATTCTGCCACATTTCAGAATAAATCAAATTGAGTGCTCCAATATCTCAGAATAAATCAAAAATGAATTCTGCAACATCTCAGAATAAATCGCAATTGAATTCTACAACATTTCAGAATAAATCAAATTGAATTCTGCCACATTTCAGAATAAATCAAATTGAGTACTGCAACATTTCAGAATAAATCGAAATTGAATTCTGCAATATTTCAGAATAAATCAAATTGAGTACTCCAATATCTCAGAATAAATCAAAAATGAATTCTGCAACATCTCCGAATAAATCGAAATTGAATTCTGCAACATTTCAGAATAAATCAAATTGAGTACTGCAACATTTCAGAATAAATTGAAATTGAATTCTGCCACATTTCAGAATAAATCAAATTGAGTACTGCCACATTTCAGAATAAATCGAAATTGAATTCTGCCACATTTCAGAATAAATCAAATTAAGTGCTCCAATATCTCAGAATAAATCAAAAATGAATTCTGCAACATCTCAGAATAAATCGAAATTGAATTCTGCCACATTTCAGAGTAAATCAAAATGAAATTCTGCAACATTCGGAATAAATCGAAATTGAATTCTACATTTCACATCAAATTGGATACTATCTTCTTTATAGCTAATGCACAATGCACACTATCCGATACACTCAATATCTATTCCACACGCGTCGTTTCATTGCCGTTGAAATTCACTTCTATGTATGTAAACAGCCCGTTCAAAGGGACGAACTAGTAACTACAAACGAATGCAAGACAATTATGTTGGGTGCAGTGTACATTTTGGAGCTCAACGTTTAACAGTCAACAGCTGCAGACGTCAGCATCGATTATGCGATTATTACACAGTCGGTTTATTTACGCTTGCTGGATCGCCTAATTGAACAGAATATAGTGATACTGCTTTTGCACTTCAAATTAATTATTTTGTAGATCATATCCATTGCTTTGGAAAATGAATTATTTGTGAAATGACATTTAATTTTTTTACAAATAATTAAATACAAAGTAGTGAATTTCATTTGCAGAAACGTGAACAAGACCTGCAAAAGGGTTAATTTGATTCGCAGAAAGGTGAATGTAATCTACAAAATAATTAGTTTCCAGCGCAAAGAGTTGATTATTATTAGATTGCGAATTTTATGCGTTTATGGGGAAAAAGTGTGTATATGAAATGGAGAACGATAAATGTACCTGATAAATCGAACAATGCAATTAGATTATTTTCAAATTATTAAACATGTTAGGAATGAAAACAAATTTTTATTTAACTCGTGTCTGTTGCAATCACGGTAGCAAATATTTCTTTTGCATGAAACATCCGTGGTCTAGTCACGATTTACAAAAGAATTCATTTTAAGAGAGAAATCTTTAGTAAAAGAGATTTGAAAATGTTTGAGAAATGCCCTTGTGCGTTGACCCTTACAATATTGTCAAAATCCAGATTACAACCCTGTTGGTTAAGTTATTAACTTTAATTTTCTGTGAATCGGGTAGTTTCGCAAGGAATCGGTCCCACGTCGTCGCGGACCAAATGCTATCGCGTCTTGAATATATACGAAACCGGATGCCGTCCTTTCTCGCCGGATGCTTCTCGTATCGCATCTCTTCCAGACACTCGTGAATTTTATTTCGTCGGAGAATATGTCGCCCATGCGACGCAGACGTGTCCAATATTTTCATCTTGCAGCGAGCGTTGACAGGATTTTTTGATGTACGTACGCATTCCACACTGTTGATTGCGAAGTTGTCCTGTGCAGCTCGAAACATTTCTTGCGGGATTATGCTATACGAGACGACGAAGAGATCCTTTGACGACACGAAGACGTCGAAAGATACGTTGTTACGTCCACCATTGAGTCTTGATCCCGAAAGGCGACCGTAACGTCGCAGTTATTTAATTAATTACGATTGTGTATTCGGAGAAAATTGTTGTTTTACAGTTTATATCGACTTTAGAAATGAGTTATCATCGTTGAAATCATTTCGAGCATTACCAATGCCATTATTATAATGTGAATCGTTTTATTTTTTTGTTTCACGTATGCCAAAGAAACAGCAAATAAATACAATAAAATAAATAATATGCAACGAAAGGATTTTGTTTGCAGAAACCTTTATAACAATTTGCTTTGAGCAAAATTATCCCTCTCTCTCTGAATCACTTTCATACGCTAGACCTGAACACATTTAAAATGACATTATGGAAAATTATTTCGAATAACATGACATTTCATTTCGTAATTCTTCCCGCGTCTCGGATCGTTTTCGAATCAACGTTGTTTAAAATATTATTTCAAATAACGTGTTATCTCGTTTTATAATTATTTCCGCGGCAGTGATCACTTTTGAAATTGCATTACTTGAAATATTATTTCAGATCACACACACACACACATGCTATTTTATTCTAGAATTATTTGATATATCGTGACACTCTTCTCGACTATGTTAAATGATCGTTCGATAATCAGAAACATATTTCCAAAGAAATAGAATAACATCTTTTTGTTGTATTTTATTTTAAGGATCATATTTTTATGAAGCGAGAGAGAGATAGGTTTTTTTGCTGAAAGCAAATTGTTATAAAGGTTCCGTTGCAAAATCTTTCCGTTGCATATTATTTTGGGAATCATTTCTTTTGTCACACGTGAAATAAAAAACTAAAACGATTCACTATATAACGGCATTGATAATGTTCGAAATGTTTTCACGATGATAATTCATTTCTAAAGTTGGCATGTACTGCGAAACAACAATTGTCTGCCCAAATTGCGAGTCACAGGAATGAAATCAAAATTTCTCAGAATTCTCCTCTGCGTAGAGCTCTGATTTAATTTGCCACTGAAACTGAGTTGTTATTAACGTTGTCAGATTGAATCGACGACTTCCAAACTAAAAATCAAAACTAACGATCCCAATGGCAGCAGAGCTCGACGCGCTGAAAAAAAAAGAGCGGCGGATTCGACGCGAAAGCGAAATTTGATAAAACGGTGTCGGGAAAATTCCTGGCGTGTTTCAAAATTATCGGAGCGTGGGAGCGTGGTAAATTAAATTTCACAAAGTAGACGGAACGTTCCCTCCAGAAAACCGTCCGCTGAATGTGCCGTGACCTCTGGCACGCTACCACGTGTCGTTTACTTTGAAATTTTCCTGGACTGGATCGGAACTATCCGAAATTCTCGTATCGCGGATCCGAAATCCTCCCCCGAAATTCCACGAAAAGGTCATCGTAATTTGACAGAAAACTTGTCTTCGCTTGTTCCATGCAATTGCCGCTAAATTATTCGGCCGAACTTTTTCTGTCCTATCGATCTGAAATTTGAAAAATCGCACAGGCTTTGTAGCAAAAAAGTTGCATGAGAAGCGGTCACACATCGTGAGCCACGGAGCGTTTCATCCATCACAGATTGAACAATCGATTTCCCAAAAGCCTCGAACACTGGAGAATGATCCGATTAGACGATGAAAAAAGGAGGACGATGACTTCTTCTCCTTCCCCGAAAATTCACGATAAAACGCCGGGCGATCACTGTGAATAATGAAGCAGGGCTGCTAGCGAAAGCATTGTAATTTCGTAGACGCGCAAGTCGACCATTTTATTAGTTCATTATTTTTCCACTTAATTATTATGAAACGAGGTGACGCGGCAGACGAGAATCAGCAATAATTGAACCTACGCACGGTCGAACCGGTTTCAATTCCATCGATCACACTGACTGAACTTATTTCAGACCAAGCAGGCAATAAGAAATTGTACAGTGATTTAATTTATTGCTCTTCTCGGTTTATTTGTACGGAAACTTCATAGAACGCAACGCAAGACACTGGAATGAGAATAAGTTTTTCGAAATTGGAACAAAGAACTTGAATGTTTTTGAGATATTAGGGAACTAGCTTTCTAGACGATGTCTGAACAAATTTTTGCGAACAGAGCTATATGGATGGAATGATCACAAGCATAAAAAAGCGATGTTTCGATTGTGATATTTTTAAAAGCGATGTTTTAAAAGCGAATGTTCCAAAAACGATGTTCCGAATGCGTTGTTTAAAAAGTGATGTTTTGAATGTGATGATTCGAATGCGATGTTTTTAAAGTGATGTTTCGTCTGCGCTGTTTTAAAAGCGAGGTTTCGTAACAATATTACAATGTTTGAAAATCATTATTTAGACATTGCATGGTTCCTCTGACATCCAAAAACAATTTAAATCGTTCGGTCCGATTGTAAGAAAGTTCTTTAACGTTAAAATGGATGCACTATTTGACGATTAAAAAACGACACGGGCGACTATGCAGCTTCTTTATCTCGCGGCAACAGCAAACAATTTTTATTTTACTTACGAATCCTCGGTGTAATAATTCGATTCCGGGGTTCGTTCGATCGGCGCATTTCCATTCCAAGTGCTGACCTCTCGAAAAGACTGGCGTAAACAACGGCGAAATTCAACGAGCACGGCAAGGAAACAAATTTATTCATTGTTTTGCGAGGACTTTAAATAAACCGGACCACATTCGCGCGAGGCCGAAGCGCCGCGTTGAACGGCACAACGCCATATTGAATCGAATGTTTCACGCATCCGGAGAACCGGCATTGCTATTCCGCGCGCGAGCACGACGATTTTACAGCATATTCGATTTCCGATACCTGGAAGAAGGAGGACAAAAGCCGCGGTATTTTTGTCAAATATTTACCCGTCGGTGTTCGGCCACCGGCATGGAAAGCTGAGGAAAAGGGATCGATGTCTCTCGGCTCGGTGAATTCCGCGCGATCGCGGCCGGTCGACCAGGTTCCGTTTTATCGGGGACGATTTTTGTGTGTCGCCTATCTTGCAGCTCGTGGTCGCTAGAAGAGAATCGATGCGATTGATTTATTATTGTCGTTGCAGAGGAATGCACCGCAGACAGGTGCAGCAAGGTTCCGTGTTCCCATGGAGGGAAATGTTTGACTACCGGCGGTGACACGGCCGTTTGCCTATGCCCCCTAGGGTACACCGGCGATCTCTGTGAAACCAGAGTGGATTTACAGGTAAACATCGATTTATTACTGATATTCATATATTAATTATTAAGTCAACCGGAAAGCCTCGTTCGCTTATGAATTAACAGGAAATAATACAGTTTCGGTAGATTTATTTTAATATCAAACTTATTTAAATAATCAGATCAAAGTCTATTGTCCAAATTGAACGTATGGTATGCACAATTATTTTGAACAAAATATGCGGTACCATGTGCTGTTCAAATTTTTTTTTATCCAAGTTTTTCCATCAAAAAGTAGCGGATATTTTAGTTCAAGCTTCTGATATTTAACCCTAGAAAGATAACCATATGACAACGTACGTAAAAGATAACCACACGCTTCAGAGGCGCATGCTTTTCTAAGGCGTCAATTTTATACTAACAATGGATATTTATTTAAGTTAATCTAGTCATTTTAAAGGTTTGGCATTATTGTAAAAATAAAATGCATTTATATTATATTTTTTTATATTTTAAGTAATTTTAAACTTAAATCACTAGACCTCTATGAAAAATTAACAAAAATCAACAGTCTTCGCAGGCGCCTCTGCGACGTAGGTTATCTTTCTCGGGTTAAATAGA